CTCAGATTTTAACATTGACAGATTTCAGATCAGGTTCCAGATTTCTCAAGTAACAGCCAACTCCCTTGTCTTATGTCATAAGGAATCTCCCTAAAGAATGGTGAGTCTAAGTCTCTCCTCATCCAGAGCAAAGAAAAGTGAAGAAAATCAAAGACTTATGGAAGCAGTTAGTCCATGGGACTAGTGGACCACATGAACCTCAGCCTCCACAACCCTGAGACCAGAACTAGATGGTGTCTAACTACCACTGCCAACCACTCTGAAAGGGATCATCATTATAGCAGATCTTGGAGAGAGTGTGAGAAAAATGTGGAACAAATCACAAAACAATGAAAAAGAGCAGGCTTACTCGTCTGATAAGAGACTGATGGAATTTGCAAGAGCATGGCCCTTAGTCCCCCTTTAGGCCTGGTACTGAACTCACCCCTGGGGCCCAACTTTCAATCAAAAAATAGGTCTTTGAGGTGAACAGTAACACCAGGGAGGTACATACTCTTTAGAATGATCAACCATAAGAGATCAAAAGGACAGCATTTGCACGGGATAAAGCTCAGAAGGCAGGAAGGAATAGAAAAGAAGAACAAAGGGAAATGGTAATCACAGAGAAGAAGTGGGAAGAGTATTGTTACATTGTAGGGATAACAATTAATATCACAAAACAACCAATTTGCTCTGTAAACTTTTACCCAAATCATAATAAAAAGTTAAAAAAAGGGAGGGGGGAGAAATATTATTCATTGCCAAACGAGAATCCATTTTAATCAACTATAAAGACTATAATACAATATGATATGAGATCATACCATACACTATAATATGACTAAAATAATATAATATACTATAAAATACAATATAAATAATACCATGTTGTTTTTGTTGTTATTTGCCGTCGAGTCAGCCCCAACTCATAACGACCCCTCCTTGGGTTTCCGAGGCAGTATCACTACAGAAGTAGGATTGCTCAATCTTCCTTCTGAGGAGTGGCTGGTGGGTTTGAACTGCCAGCCTTCTGGTTAGCAGTCAAGTGCCTTAGGCACTATGCTACCAGAGCTCATTAGAGGTACCAATTTTAAGTACACATTTGATGAATTTTGGCAAATTTATACATCTGTGTAACCTCCACTACAATCAAGGACATTTCTTTCAGTCCAAAAATTTTCATTGCACTTTTTTCTAGTCAAGGAGCTCTGGTGGCATAGTGCCTAAGGCATTTGACTGCTAACCAGAAAGTTGGTTGTTCAACCCCAATAGCCAGTCTGCGGAAGAAAGACCGGGCAATCTTCTGTAAAAAAAGATTTGTTGTTGTTGTTGTGTGCCGTCGAGTCGGCCCCGACTCATAGTGACCCCTCCTTGGGTTTCCGAGGCAGTATCACTACGGAAGTAGGATTGCCCAACCTTCCTTCCGAGGAGTAGCTGGTGGGTTTGAACCGCCAGCCGTCTGGTTAGCAGGCAAGTGTCTTAGCCACTATGCTACCAGAGCTCCCCTATTTACCACCTTGGAAACCCAAAGGGGGTTGCTATGAGTTGGAATTGACTCTATGGCAGTGAGTTTTGTTTTGTTTTTTTCTAGTCAACTCCCTAACAATTTTAGCAACAATTCATCTTTTTTTCTGTCATATAAGTTAGATTTGTATTTTCTAGAGTTTCATATAAATGGAATGACACTATACATACTCTTTTGTCTTTCTTGATTCAGCATAATGCCTTTGAGACTCAGACATATTGTTTGTATTAGTAATTTGTTCCTATTACTGCTTAGCAATATTCTATTGAATAAATACACCACAATTAGGGCAATTGGTTGTTTCCAGTTTTTGGCTTTTAGGAATAAAGTTGCAAGAAACATTTGTGTACATTTCTCTGTGTGAACATGTTTTCATTTTTCTTGGACAAACACCTAGGGAAAAAATTCTGAGTCATGAGATAAATGTGTTTAACTTCCTAAAAAACTGCCAAGCACTTCTCTAAATTGGTTATACACTTTCACATTTCCACCAGCAATGTCTAAGAGGCCCAATTCTTCACTTCCTTGCCAACATTGGGTATTGTCAGGCTTGTTAATTTTATATTCATGTGAGTGTGCAGTGATATCTCACTATGCTTTTATTTTACATTTCTCCAATAACTAGTGATGTTGAACATCCTTTCATGTGGTTATTAACTATTTGTATATCTTTTCTTCTAAAATATTTGTTCAAATGTTTTTCCAATTTTTAAAACTTGTCTTTTTATTATTGAATTGTAAGAATTCTTTATATATTCTGGATATTAATTTAAGTGTATGTATAGTGAATATTACCTCCAAGTCTGTGGCTGGCCTTTTCATTTTTTTAATGTCTTTTGAAAAGCAGAAGATTTTAATTTTGATAAAGTTCAATTTGTGATTTTTCCTTTGTGATTTATGGTTTTGCTTTTTACCTAAAGAACTCTTTGCTTCTTCAAAGGTCATGAAGATTTTCTTTTATACTTTTGTCTAGAATATTTATAGTTTTAGTTTTCATATTTATGTCTCTGATTTATTTTGCATGTCTTTTTGTGTATGTCATAAAGTTTGAATCTTGGGATTCTCCCCCCCACCCCCACCCATTATGGGTATTGGTACTTGTTCCAATAACATTTGATGAAAATGCTATCATAGAGATACCTTAGAAATTTATTAAAAATCAATTAGTCATATATGTATAAGCTCTATTTTTGAACTTTCCATTTTGTTCTATTGATATATTTTTCACTCCTTATACCAATACTATACCATGCCTTGGTTACTGTATTCCTAAGTTGCAGTAGTTTAAATTCTTTAACTTTGTACTTCTTTCTCAAAATTGTTTGGCTGTTTTTGATTCTTTGAATTTCCATAGAAATTTTAGAATGGAATGTGTTTGATTAACCTGGATAGAGGATTTGTTAATCTAAATTTTTAAGTAGGACATTGTGAATACAGAAACTGGGACAGAAATGAGATATAGTTTAAGAAAAAATTCCACTGACTGATGTCAAAGTAGGTTTGGCTCCAAAATGTTGACCCCAAAGGACTGGAATAATGGGGCAATAGAGGAAGACAGAAAAGTTGAGCTGAAGAGTTTTACCAAAAAATAGGAAGGGTAAGTATTTAATTTGCTTTCAAAAACATAAAATTTATTGTGATCGCTAGACCCAAAATTAGAAAATTCCGGTAAGAGTTGGAGACTTGGAAAAGATATTGGTAAAAGAAATGGAGTTTAGAGAGCAATCAACATAAAAAATTGAAAAGCAGAGTATGGAGAGAGAAAAAAAAAAAAAAAAACAATGGCCAGGGTTGAGTAGAGAACAGCACCCAAATTATAGTATAGGTGGCATGAGCAGATTTATGAAAGGCAACTAAGTGAGTGCTAGGAGAAGAGAAAAATAGTGTGATACCATGTAAGCCAAGGTCAAAGAATGTATCCTGAAGCCAGGGATCAGAATGTCAAATGAAGCAGACAGAGAAGGATGAAAAAGTGAGGGAAAAGCAAAGGCTGACAGCTTTAGCAATGAAGACTTATTTGGTAATACTTGAGAGAACAGTTTCATGGGCTTGAGCATGGTAGGAACCATTTTACAGGGGATTATGGAAGGTGGGAGAGGAAAAGAGTCTAGTTCAGTAATTCTGAAAATGGAAAGAGGAGAACAATGAGATGGTCATTACAAAGAATCACAGGATCAGCTGTATGCTTTCCACACAGGCTTTGTATTTTCATTTATTGACAAAAGGGACTAGTATGCTCTGCTTCCCGTAATTATATCAAAGTCAGTGCTCACCAGATTTTTAAAAATAGATAGCCAATTAGGCTCAAGCAGCTGGAGGACTTCTTCCTCCTCCTCCCTCAACTCTGGCACATACATTCCCTTGCTCATACCTCAAATTGTCGTAACTTTTCTGATACAGTGGAAACTAAACAATGTTATCTCAATGACAGTTCTGTTTTCCAGATTTCACTTTTCAAAAGGACTAACAACAGCAGCAAAAAAGGCATTGGTGGTTTTTGAATGGAGTGGTCATAGTGAAAGTTGTTCTGATTTAAGTGTCTGAAAGCAGACTCTAGATTCAAAAGTCAACTGGAACAGTGGAGAATGTCCTCTGTGATCTTGTTACCAAACCCAACGACCATAGCTCAAAATTTGTCTTCCTTGAATACTTTATAGTGATTATATATATATATATATATATATATACACACACACACACATATATACACACACACACGTAATTTTTTTTCAAGTCTCATCTTTATGGTTTCCTTAATGTTTAAGGCACTTGGCTGCTAACCAAATGCCGGTGGTTCAAACCTACCAATGTACCTGTGGAAGAAAGATGAGGCAGCTTACTTCTGTAAAGATTTACAGCTCTGGAAACCCAATGGGTGTTGTTATGAGTCAGAATCGACTCCATAGCAATGAAGTTTTTTGGTTTTACTAGCATTTAAAGAGCTCTGGTGGTGTAGTGGGTAAGGCATTTGGCTGCTAACAGAAAAGTCAGTGGTTCAAACCCATCAGCTGCTCCACAGGACAAAGATGGGGCAATCTACCTCAGTAAATATGTACATCAGTGGAAATCCAATGGGGATTGCTGAGTCAGAATTGACTCGATAACAGTGGGTTTGGTTTTGGTTTGGTTTTACTAGCATTTATCTTTGTTAAGAATTTGCTTTAAGCAGTGGATTGGGTCATAGGGCATGTCCTTTTTGCTGCTCTCTTCCCCTCACTAAAATCATCATAAGTGTTAGAGGTGAGCATCTGCTAATCCTGTTTTCTGCACAGGAGATAGTTTGCTCCACAGTGATAATGTTCACATATGTCAGCCCCAAGAAGGCACAAGGAGTTTTCTCTCTTCATTTGAAGGGCCCTTAGCATGAGCTTGCTGGCCAAAAAGGGAATTAGTTTCCCTCTATTGGTTCTCTGTCCCTTATTGTAAAGTCTGATAGGTGATGTGAATTTTGTTCTTGATGACTGTCTTTATTGCTTGCAGACTCTGATTTAGCAGAATGCAGCGAAATAACTTCACAGAAGTGACAGAATTCATCTTCTTCGGATTCTCTAGCTTAGGAAAACATCGGATCATCCTGTTTGTCATTTTTCTAATCATCTATATTTTAACCCTGGCTAGTAACATCATCATTGTGACAATTATTTACATTGAGCATCATCTCCACACTCCCATGTACTTCTACCTGAGCACGCTAGCCAGTTCAGAGACTGTGTACACACTGATCATTATCCCACGAATGCTTTCCAGTCTCATTTTTCATAAACAGCCCATCTCCCTGGGAGGTTGTGCAACCCAGATGTTCTTTTTTGTCACTTTGGCCACAAACAATTGCTTCCTGCTCGCAGCAATGGCCTATGAACGCTTTGTGGCCATTTGCAAGCCCCTGAGGTACACAGTTATCATGAGCAAAGGAATGTGTGCTCAGTTGGTATGTGGCTCTTTTGGCACTGGTCTGGCTATGGCGATTCTCCAAGTGACAGCCATGTTCAATTTACCTTTCTGTGGCACAGTCATGGAACACTTTTTCTGTGACATTTACTCTGTCATGAAACTTTCTTGCATTGATACCACTATCAATGAGATAATCACTTATGGTGTAAGTTCATTTGTGATTTTTGTGACCGTGTGCCTGAACTTCATCTCCTATGTTCTAATTATTTCCTCCATCCTTATGATTGCCTCAGCAGAGGGTAGGAAGAAGACTTTTACTACCTGTGCCTCACACCTCACTGTGGTCATTGTCCACTATGGCTGTGCCTCCATTGCCTACCTCAAGCCCAAGTCAGAAAATTCTGTAGACAAAGATCTTCTTCTTTCTGTGACTTACATCATCATCACTCCCCTGCTGAACCCTGTCATTTACAGCCTGAGGAACAAGGAGGTCAAGGATGCCCTATGCAGAGCTGTGAGCAGAAATGTTTCTTAACACATTGAACCATTTATTTCAGGAGGTATTTAGCCCAATGTAAAGTGTGTGCACTCACAAATGTACCACAGTACATAATTTCGTCAAATGCAATGTTTTCTCTAAATAATGCCAGAGACTAGAAGTGCTATTCTTTTTCATATTCTAAGCACAGGGGAGAAACCAGGTTTTCTAATCT